CCTGCAACGGGTAAAGCTTCCGAGCAATTTCGGGCGTGGGGCCGACGTTGATCGGATTATAGTGGGGGTCGCAGCCGGGCCGTGCCGCGAATCGCGGAAAGGCCTCCGAATAAAAAGGTCTCCGAATAAAAAAGTATCCGAACGAAACAGCTCTTCGGAGGCCTTTACAGCTCAAAACTTGCCGGCCGACGCGCCCAAGGCCCCTTTTGGAAATTCTGCACGATTGCAGTTCTTGCTTCCTTCAACCCCATCACCCACCTACCTAACTCCTCCTTCCCCCCCAACAACAAACTCCGTTGGGACGCTGACACTGTCTGCCGTGCTACCCACCCCATCCCCCCAGCATGGATTCCCCGAGACCTACCAAGGAGCTTGATCGGGCCACCGACAGCGACAAGACCCCACCTGTCGACCCCCTGGTTACCGATGCAAGCCAGTCCAAGGCGGAACCGTCTGCACCTGCATCCTTCAAGCGAGGCCTGCGCTTCTGGACCATCATCGTCGCCGTCGGCTTCACCGGTCTTCTGACGGCGCTCGAAGCCACCATCACGTCCACCGCCTTGCCAACCATCATCGCCGACCTTCAAGGCGGCGACGCATTCGTATGGGCCGTGAACGGGTACCTCCTCGCCATGACGGCCCTGCAGCCGCTGTACGGCCAGCTCGCCAACATCTTTGGCAGAAGATGGCCGACTATCACGGCAACCGCTGCCTTCCTCCTGGGTAGCGGCATCGCCGGCGGCGCCAACAGCATGGGCATGCTCATCGCCGGCCGTGTCATCCAGGGCATCGGCGCCGGCGGCATCAACGTCCTCTGCGAGATTCTCGTTTGCGATCTGGTCCCTCTTCGCCACAGGGGCAGCTACCTGGCCGGAATGTTTGGCATGATCGCCATCGGTACCGCCTTGGGCCCCTTCTTTGGCGGCTTGATCGTCGACAGGACAAGCTGGCGCTGGGTCTTCTACCTCAACCTCCCCATCGGCGGCCTGGCCCTCGTCCTTCTCTTCTTCTCCCTCCACGTCAACGCCAAGAAGGAGAAGAGCCTCGCTACGAGCCTCAACAAGATTGACTGGATCGGCAACGCCATTTTTATCACCTCGATATCCGCCGTGCTGATCGCCCTGTCGTGGGCCGGCGCCATCCATCCCTGGTCGTCCTTCCGCATCCTGGTCCCGTTGATTCTCGGCCTGGCCGGCATGGGAGCTTTCATCGCTTTCGAAGGCTCTCCATTCTGCTCCCAGCCGACCATGCCGCTCCACCTCTTTTCCAACCGCACCTCGGCCACCGCCTTCGCCCTCACCTTCCTCCACAGCATCGTCACCATCTGGGCGCTCTATTTCCTCCCCGTGTACTTCCAGGGTGTTCTCGGCTCGTCCGCACAGCGCTCGGGCGTCCAGCTGCTCCCCACCATCCTCATTCTCATCCCCTTCGCCATCGCAGCCGGCGGCGTCATGTCCAAGCTTGGTCGCTACCGCCCGATACACCACATCGCTTTCGCCCTGATGGCCATCGGCATGGGGCTGTTCAGTCTGCTCGACGAAAAGTCCAACACGGGCACCTGGGTCGGCTTCCAAATCGTCGAATCGGCGGGCGCGGGCTTCATGATTCCGACTCTGCTTCCCGCCGTGCTCGCGCCCCTGACCGAGGCCGACACCGCGCTCGCCACCGCGACCTGGTCTTTCCTGCGGAGCTTCGGCCAGGTCTGGGGCACCGCCATCGCAGCGGCCGTGTTCAACAACCGCTTCGATCAGCTTGCCAGCGGCATCGCAGATCCCGTCATCAGAGAGCAGGTCAACGGAGGCGATGCTTATCAGTACGCGACGGCGGCGTTCACAAAGCTGCTGCCGGCCGAGACCAAAGAGCAGTTCATCTCGGCTCTGAACGGCAGTTTGCAGCGCTCGTGGTACGTCGCGATCGCCTTTGCGGGCCTGGGTTTCGCGTTGGTCATCTTTGAGAAGGAGGTTCCGTTGCGCGATGAGCTGGAGACGGAGTACGGTGTTGCCGACGAAAAGAAGAGCGACTCGGTGGAGGTTTGAACGGATATATATATAGATATTACATGTACATAATCTGCCGTAGGTGCTTTGCATGTACGATATGCGGAGGAGTTTTGGGACAGCAATCGACAGGACCATAGCTGTCAAGATTATTTTTTGTTGCTTTTTTATTTTATTTTTTCTGGCATTCAGGCCTCTCTTAATTCGCAGAATACTAGATCTACCTATTTTCATCTCGTTACCCGTCTAAATAGGTAGGAGCCCGCCCCTGAGCCCCTGAACCCACACCCTCGATTTATCAATACTCCGCTCGCAAACCCATCACCACGGCAACAACCACACACAGCCATCCTGGAATGTCGACAAACTTCAACCTCGTTCCGTTGATGTCCACAAAGTCCTGCAGCCAGCCCCGGGTTTCCGGAAGCGTCTTTTTGTTCCAAATCTCGGCCGTCAGGCTCATCATCTTCATGCCGGACGAGAGCGGGTACGCATGGCCGACGACAAAAGCCACGCCGAGGAGCCACCACAGCGACGCCTGAGGGCCGCCGCAGAAGTAGTTGATGAGGCACGTGGTGATGGTGGTGAGATGGCTGGGCGCCGAGAGAAACACAATGTTCCTGTAGCTCTTGAAGAAGGGGTACCACACTTCTCGGCGAGCCTGGGCCGGCACTGCCGGGTCGATAAGCGAGACGTGGGTGAACTGCTGGCCGACCGAGCAGATAAGCCTGGAAATTAGGTAGGGCGGTAGTAAGTAAGCAATTTGTTCACATTTTTACCACGGGAAGGGGGGGCTTACGCAGAAGTAGAGCTCGCCAGGGGTGCCACCTGCACCAGGGTCCAGAGGAATGAGTTGGTCATGTTCGTTTAGAAACAAATGTTTGATGTTTCGCGTATCTTCGCATTGGCATTTCTGCTTCCGTTTTCAAAAGGAAAGGATGGCAAGTTTATCTGTCCACGCTGAGAGCGCGTTGTAGATAGAATCTCTTCGGAAAAAAAGCCGAGCGGCGCCGAAAACTTAACCCTCCGAAGGGGGGGCGGACGGTCCCCCCCGAAAAACTCGGCGACATCAATGGCCGAAAGGGGGCCGGGTCGGCAGCCCGAGGACGAACAACTCCAAGTTGGCTGATTCAAAAGAAAAGTGGCATGACCACTCGCTTCCATCATGTCATGCCAGAAATTACCACAAACCTCATCATGTTCAAGTTTTTCAAAAGCCATTTTTACAACTTTGAAACAGCCCGCGTGCTCAGCAGCACGAGCACGGGGGGTTGCGAGATTGCCGAATTCCTCGAGGCGGTCGGCAAGGTCAAGCAGCACGACCCGGAGAGCTGGTACGTCACATGGCACGAGCAGTCGGTGAGGGCCGAGGGGATAGCGCGCGACGCGGTGCGCAGCGGTCAGCGGCGCGCCGCTCGTCGAGCCTTCATCCGCGCCTCCAACTATGCGCGCGCGTCCGGATACATGCTCTCGTGGTCGAGGGAGGGCGACAGGCGGGTTCTTCAGTCCGCGGAGCGCGCCGTGTCGCTGTTCCGCGAGGCCTTCCCTTGCATGGACGGCCACGTCAAGGTTCTGGAGATACCATACGACCACGCCAACAACACCAAAGCCCCTTTGACTGCCTATTTGTACCTCCCTTCGCAGTCCAACAGGCTGCCACCGCCGTCGGGTCGGGGTCAAAGAGGCACGCCCGTTATTATCAACTGCAACGGCGCCGATTCGACTCAGGAAGAACTCTACCACGGTTTCGTCGAGCCCGGCCTCGAGCTGGGGTATGCCGTCCTGACCTTCGAGGGCCCGGGGCAGGGCATGATGCTGAAGAAGCACAAGACGGCGATGCGGCCGGACTTTGAAGCCGTCACGGCAAAGGTCCTCGACCACCTCGAGAGCATCGTCGCCACCGGCGCGCCCGAGCTATCCAGCCTCGACCTGAACCGCGTCGCCATCATGGGCGTCTCGATGGGGGGATACTACGCCCTCCGCGCGGCGATGGACCCGCGAATCAAGGCGTGCGTATCGGTGGACCCTTTCTACGGGCTTTGGCGTCTCGCCCTCACGCGCATGCCCGCCTGGTACGCAGCTCTGTGGACGTCTGGCTGGCTGCCCGAGTCGGTATTCAACGGTTCCGTCTACGCTCAGATGGCGGTTGACTTCCCAACGCGGTGGGAGTTCGAGCTGGGCATGGCAATGATGGGGACGGCCACGCCGGGGGACACGCTCCGCCGCTTCAAGGACTTTGATCTGGATGTCGTTTCCGACGGCAAGGGCAGCGTCGTGGACAGGATCCGCTGCCCCGTGCTCGTGACTGGAGCCTCGACCACCATATACGCCTCGGCAGACGAGAGCACGTTGGCCATTTTCAAGGGCCTGTCCGGTGTTCCCGAGGGAAAGAAGGAGGTGTGGATTCCGGAGGAAATAGGAGCCGGAGGGCTGAGCGGGAAGATTGGCGCCTGGAGTTTGCTGGCGCAAAGGAGTTTCGAGTTTCTGGACAAGCACCTGGGCGTTCAACGGGGCGAAGTTGGAGGTTCAACTTGACAACATGCCTGAGGTCATTAGAGCAAACCAGGACGCGTCGCTGGTCATAAAAGGGTAGGTAGGTTTGTACTGGTAGTGGAATATCCACCGATTATACATCAACTCGCACTTGACATGTCATCTCTCATCCGAGCGTAATCATGCATACCATGTACAGAGTTTCAATTCTTCCGACCAGCTCAGTCAGCCCCATCAGATCGGACTATATAGCCCATGCCACCCCGACTAGTGATTGCTCTCGGAGCGTCGTGTGCGGATAGTAAGGCGTATTAGGCACCTGTTCAATCATACGAGGCCTATTTCCTCGCAAAACTTATAAAAGCACTGCAAGGATTTCGTTATCAATTCATTATATATCTCTCACGCACATGGGTTCGCGATCCCAACCAACAACCCCTGTCCATGTCAACATGGAAAAATAGCGCAAAAATGTCAAAAGTTCCAACACCACTATTTGAAGAGTGTTTTTGGACGAGCCCGGAATCGAACCGGGGACCTTCCGCATGTCGTATATCCAGGGTCGGGATTATGCTAAGCGGGCGCTCTACCAACTGAGCCACACGCCCTTGGGTGGTGTTGATATCCGCTGAGACACAAATGAGAAATCGGGCGCGGCGGTGTGTTTCTCTTCTTTTCCCCAGGCCCCTTTCCCCCTCTTGGAGACGTTGCACCATGCCGGCCACGGCGTCCACGGGTTGTCGGACTTGACCCGACAAACTGGAACCCGCCCCCTACTTGTCAGCCAAGCAATTCGGCTAGAGTGCTTCTTTGGTCTAGCGTGCTGTGGTTCAATCTCGGACTGCTTGCCGGTTGGTCGGTGGCTCGGATATCCCTGACAAGCGCGGAGACACCCCATGCTCTCGACGAACTATTGCCAATGCCGTGATAGCGGGCATGCAGGCCGTGGCAGGTTTTGGCCGAGGATACCGCCAGACCTCCCCACACAACCGAACCGTTTCTGGAACTCCTTCCCTTCGGGCATCCAAGATTCCCTGCTGGCGCGGCCAAAACCCCACGATAGACGGGTATAAGAAGGGCCCGGGGGCGTCTCTCTCTTTCATAACCAACCCAGGTTCGCTTCCCAACAGCCTTCACCATGCTTCACCTTCTTCCTCTCCTGGGCCTGGCCCTCCCTGCCGCGGCGGGAAGGTCGCAGCCCCGCCCTCACACCGTCGTGGGATCTGCGTCCGGGTGCTCTGATGTGGCATTCCAAGTTCCGGTGACAAGCCAGAACATGGTCTTCACCTCCCCGCCGGATCCCAACAACGGCACCGCCATTGTTGATTTTATGGTTCAGACGTGGAAAGGAAATACGCCCGCCACCGATGGGTTTGCAGCTGTCAGCGGCACCTTTACCATCAAGGGGACGTACTGCGTCCCGAAACGCATCAAATCGAAAGACACTTTGGAAGTCCTCGTTCACGGCATTACCTACAACAAGACAATGTGAGTCAGCCAGATGTCCTCGTTTCCTTGCGACTTTCGCTGACAAACTGGCAGGTGGGAGGGAATGGGCTTCGGTGCTCAGTATGACTGGCATAAGTATGCCAACTCCCGGGGATATGCGACGCTTGCTCTCGATCGCCTCGGCCACGGTGAAAATCCGCAGTACCCAGATCCGCTCAATATTGTCCAACCTCAAATGCACGTCGAGATTACCCGCGAGATCATGGCAGCTGCCCGCAACAAAAAATCACCCGTCAACGTCCTCGGCCGCGCCTTCAAAAAAGTCATCTTTGTGGGACACTCGTATGGCTCGTTCCTAGGTGTCGCGCTTGCGGAGCAATATCCCGCTGCGGCCGATGCCCTGGTTCTTACAGGCTTCAGCAACTATTTGGACTTCAGCGCCGTCATTGATGCCGAATGGTCATCCGCGGCTGATCATGACCCGGCCCGTTGGCCCAGTGTTCCCAAGGGATATGTCGTGATGGGAAATGCGACGGAAAGGATTGTCTTCTACGATGGTGGCTACAACCCTGCCATGCCGTCCGTCGACTTCCAGCACGAGGACACTTTGACCGTGGGCGAGATTGGAGCCCTGTCCGCAATCCTTGGCCCGGCTCCGTCCTACACAGGTCCTGTTCTTGTTGCCACACCCGTGCAGGACGTATTTTTCTGTGAGGAGCCATTGGCTCTGTGTGAATACCATTTGAACGCGACGAGGGTCTCGTTCCCCAATGCCTCCGATTATGACTACTTCGCCCCCGACAACACCGGGCATGACCTTACCCTGCATTACACCGCCCAGGACACTTTCCGGCAGGTACACGACTGGCTGGACACCAAGTTATGTGAATAAATACTATGGTAGAAATCTTACAGATCTTATTTCCAACCATCTCAATCCAAATACTGGACTCCTTTGTGTGGCAACAATGCGCATTATGAGCCGGAAGAGGCATGAACAAGACTTCCCAAAACAGAAGGGCAACTGTTCTTTGTTGAACTTTCGGAGAGGAGAAAATGCGGCAAAGAGGGTAAGGGAGAAGATTTGAATGTCAAAATTTCTGCTTGGTGTGTGTGTTGATGCAATTTTCCCTCTTATTTCTTCCAACACGGTGCATATTGTCGCTGTCGGTCGTCATGTCGCGGTTCCGGTCAGAATACCGCCGTAGTGTTGAGACCGGCCAACGAGCGGAGAAGTTGGCTATTGACCCCCGAGGCCCTGGGAACCGGGCCCCAGCGTGGGCTGAGAATCGAGCACACTTGATCGAAAGCCTTCCATACTTTCGGCAAGCACAGCAGGGCGTGTATCAGAGTGGGATGATTATTCGCGGAGCCTTGATTGATGGCTACGGCGGCCAGCACACCCACTTCGACGACGACATCATCATCACCAAGCTGGATGGAGGAGGAGACTCGAGCATAGGTGCCTACAAGAGACACGCATCTGCTCGGTTATCGGCAGCACGGGCTACGCAAGAGCAAGGAAGCTCCATTGGGATTATTCTCGGTGAGTGCTGATTTCATGTTCCCAATCCAAATCCCACCGAGCTGACCTCCCTTTTTGATATCGACCAAGGTTCCGAGGCAGGAAATGCTGCGACTATCAAAATAGAACCGGCGAAGCCGTGTCGATACGCGGTCCTGGGCGAATACATCATCACGGATATATGGTTCGAAAAGCAGGGCGCCAAACAGAACACGGTCACCATGGTTCGGTATCAGCGCAGAGGTTTCCAAGAACCGCCGTGGTGGCGAGCATCATCATCATCATCATCATCACCGCCCTGGGAGAAAAAGAGCGGGATTCGCTCTTCTTTCAGCTCCAAGACGTGCTCCGGCTGCGGGGAGAGATCCCCGAAAAGATACGCAGTATGGTTCTGCGCAAACCATCAGTGTGCCGAGTTTTCGAGCCCCGGCGGACAAGCTCTCCCCGACGGCCTCGGCTTCTCCAAGCGCTATCTGCTCCAGAGGACGACACCCACCACGGATCAGCCACTCGATCTTTTCCCCAATCGACTCGGAAAGCCGACACTACTAAAAGACATGCGGAAGGGATCGGTTTGTCAAAGATGTGGCAGATGCGTCCCGCGGTTTCACTGGGATCGTTGGATATGTGACGGCCGCTTCGGCTGCGGAAAGTTGGTGCCGTTGCCTGCCAAGATACCTGATCTTTCGACACTGGTCGGGGAGAAGCTCAAAGTCTTCTCGCAGCCAAAACATCCCTTTTGGATTCTTGGCGATATCGATGCCGAGCCATCCGGCGAGTTCATTCTCAGCGGGATCAGATTTCGAGAGTACAGCCACGAGATGCCCGGCGGAGGGAAGGTAACGTTCTTGAGATCCAAACCGCCCAGGACAACAACTCCCGGGTCCATCTTTGACGATCTTTTCCAAAGCATCACGTGGGGTGCAAACATGGCAGGAGAAATCAGTCTGGTGCGCCATCCGGTGCAGAGCAGAGTCGCGGGGTCTAGGATCAACAGGTTTGAGGCGCTATTCGGTCCAAAAGAAGACAAAACAGGCACGACACCGGTGGCCTCGTTCGACACAGCTCCCGTGGCAGTGGGGGCAGCTCTTAGATTTCTCACGGAAATCTTGGCCTACCTTGCAGGTTCAGAGGAGGATGGCGATTCCGAGACTCCCAGCAAAGTTGCCGTGACCGCATATGCGGGTGGCGAGCAGAAGGAAGGGTTCAAACCAGCGACGCACAACGGAGAATCCCAGACCTCTGTCGCACTTTGCTTGGGGAGTCCCGTCAGAGTTAGATGGAGGTACAACTCAAACTTTTGGAATCACAATGGCGGCGTACCTCCGAACGGAGATCCGCTGCAAGACACAAAACATTTCGACGCCGTACAAGACCTGAAGCAGCAGGGACTGTCAACAAGGGAGTACGAAAAGAGGAAGAGAGAGACCCTGAGTCGCCCTCCTAGAGACAAGCACGCCCCGACGTACCTAAGCACCGACCTCGGACACGGCGATATTCTGATAACCAGGGGCGAGGCAATCGCCGACCACTTCGAGACCGCAATCGAGCCGCACGGGTCCTTGCATTTGCGCCTGACCATGTTTACTTCGGAGGCAGTCCCTCCCCCAACGAAGCCCGCAAGTGATGGAAAATCAGGACCGAGCACCGCCGTGAAAAAGCCCAAGAAGCCCTTAACCCCTCACAAAAAGATAAACATTCCGAAACCGAGCAAGGAGAAGGGCAAAGAACCAGAGGTGCCGTACGAAGTCCCGACCGGCCCACCAACTAGCACTACTGCTCAGCCTGCCGAACCCATCGAGTCAGTTTTGGTGGGGGCCGATCCAGCTACAACAAGTTCTCCTACTCCAACTACTACTACTGCTACTACCGGTAAAGGAAAAAGAAAAGTAGCATGGGCAGACGAGAACTTCCTCCCCAGCGACGCCGAGCCTGAGGAACAAGTTAAAGTTGAAGCTGAAGTTGAAGTTGAAGCTGAAGCTGAAGTTGAAGTTGAAGACGAAGACACAGGTCCCACGTCCCAGCGGAATGATGGTCGTTGGTGCACCGTCATGGTTGCTCGTGCGGATGGGGAAATTGACAATAACAATAATGATAATAATGACACGGCCCGTGACAGAGGAAGAAAGAAACGAGGGGTTGAGGAGGTAAAAGAAGAAGCGGCGGCCGGTCAGGATGAGCAGGGAAGAGGATGGACGGGAGTTAGGAGGAAGAAGAGGGTTGTGTATGGGCGTGTGAGATGGTGATATCAGGGTTTGATTTTTGTTTATCTTCTTTATTTTTGCTCTTTTTTTTTTTTTTACATCGAAATTGGTGCAATTAGTTTGCATTAAAGCACGATTTGCCTCGAATGACTCGGCATTCCGATGAGCAAGATTTTTTTTTTTTTCTTTTTCTTTTTTTTGGTGGGAGAAATGAAAACTCCATTCCATGCATTGTGGTTTGATATTTGTGTGACATGGAAAGCGGACGTCTACATCCCCGATCCTCAATCTCATTTTAATCCTGGATCACGTACCCGGGAAGTCAATTGTTTGCTTTGTGGTAACTCGATCCAGTTATATTTATTATCTATAGACGGCAATAGTAATGCCTGGGCATCCCTGAGTCTGGGACAGGTGTTCTTCCTCTTGG